AACTGGCACCGGGTCCCAGACCCCCCCCGCCCGTACCGGCGCCCTGCTCACTCTGGCAAACCAATGCTGGGTCAAAAATGCATCCTGCCGAACCAGCCCTTCCCAAACTGGCGCCGGGGGCAGACCCCTCTCAGACCCACACCAGCCCCCCCAAACCGACGTGGGTGACCTCCTCCCTGTGACTGGCACCAGATCGGGGCCTCACCCTACAACCCCCACACTGGCACCCAGTCCTCAACCCCCGTCAGCCAGAACCGACACCCAGTGAGGAACCATCCACCCCAAACAGATACGAGGTCATTGACCTGCCACCCTCCTCTCCCCTTCCCCAAAACCTGTACTGGACTGAGGACCCCCACCCCGAACTAGTACTGGGTTGGGGACGACCCCACTTCAAACCAGTACTGGGTCAGGGACCTGCACATGCTAACCTTCACTGGATCTAGGACCTTCCCCCTGCTTCTGGCACTGGGTCAGAGACTGCCCTGAATCCAGAACCAGCACCAGGTCAGAGACATTCCCTGCTCCCTGACAGATGTCGCTGGGTGGCGGACCACCCTGCTTCCCAAACCAGCCCCAAGTCAAGGACATCTCCTGTCCCTGCTAAATGACCCCAGGACAGGGACCACCATGCTTCCTGAGCCACCATTAGGTCAGGGACCACCCCCCATCCTGAACCAGCACCAGCTTGAGGACATGCCCTGCCACATGGCACCAGATCAGGGACCACCTCCTATCCCAAACCAGTACCAGGCTAGAGACGCCTGCAGCCTGGACACAGACCTGGTCAGCGCTCCTCACTCGCTGCCAGACCAAGTCCGGGTTAATATCTTGTGCCTCAGGAGCTGCCTGTGGCCTCCCTTCCTGTGCCCAGCTACCCCTGTGATACCCCTGCCCCAGAATTTCCCCCTGCCAGTGACCCTCTGCCCTTTGGAACGAATTGGTACCAAGCCAGTAGCCTCCTGGATCAGGCCCCAGTCAGTGACATCCCCATCCTTCCCCAAACTGGGATCTGCCAGCAATGGAGCAAACCTTCCCCTAAATACAGGCTGAACTGGGATCCTTCCCTGAACTGTAGCTGTCCCCCCAGGCAGGGGGGACAGAACCAGCAACAGGCAGTGCCTGCCACCCTCTCCTGAACCGAGGCTGGTTCAGGGGCTCCATCTTTCCCCAGCCCAGGCTTGGCACAGGCTTGGGGACCTCCCTAGGACAAGACCTCCTGGAGCAACTCCCCCTTCCTCCCTGCCAAACTGGGGCTGGGCAATGCCACCCCCTCCAGAGCCCATGCTAGTCTGACTGAGTCCTGGCCAGTACCACCAAACTGGGCCAGTAACCACCATCTCTAGCCCAAACTGGACTGAACCAGAACATGATATGTAGCATAGATGCCTGCTGACCCTACCCCCCCCAGGCTGAGCCTGGGTCAGTAACACCCTTCCCACCCTGAACAGGCTCGTTCTCCCAGAGCCTTCCTTTTAGGTTGGACTGTGGAATTAGAATGAGGTCAGTGCCACCCCCTCACCCAGCCCTGAAGTGGATCCAGAGACCCTGGCTGAGCCAAGCTCCCCCACAGTGACAAAAGGACTCCCTCAGATGCAACCTTTTCAGCCCCTGACCTCTTTCTCTGGGAAGCAAACCCTTGGGCTCAGACCCCCAGGGCTGTGCTGCAGGCACTAACCAGACCTAGGCTCTGCTTCAAGCTCCAGAAAGGGAGGGCCAGGACGAGTTTTCCCTCAGGCAGGTTGGTCCACACTTGCCTCCCTCCTTTCCACATCTTGGAGGGCCTCCTACCCTGGGGCTAGACCTGCTGGGGGAGGAGAGAGCAAAGTGTGTTTGGTGGAGCTTTTAACAGCATCACCTTTCCTTTTTACTTTGTGAAAAAAATGGGGCCCTCTCACCTTGCGAATAAGATCTGAGATCTGGCACCCAGGATCTGACATGAAACCCATGAGGTCAGATCTTTGCCCCAAACATTGCTATGGTGAACTCAACAGTCTGCGCTGGGATCCACACACAGAGCTGTGGGCCTTTCGGTGCTGGGAAGGTGATCTTGTGCCAAATGTTCTATCCCTTTCCCCTTTTGCTTCTCTCTGCCCAGGGAGGCCCTTGGAGAAGATACTGAGGCAAAGACAGCTGAGGAAGAGGAGGAGGAGGAGGAGAAGGAGCAGAGAAGAAGCCACAAGCAGATTGAGGAGAGCAGGCAGGTGCGGCAGTGAAATAGGAAAGTCCTCTCAGGTCCTTGGCCTGTAGACTTTTGACTTTGCTCTCCTTTTAGTTTAGTGTCACACAGCAGCGTTTATGTGGGAAGAAGCAGTGATACAAACTCTTCAGGACTGGATGGGTTGTGATTCTTGGGCAAGACTCCAAGGATGTAATTTCCCTCTAACAGTCTGCCCATCAATCAGAGGGATCTAGGACTGGTGGTGGCACATCCAAACCCAAATCCTGTCATGCTCAGCCCCATCCATGTTCGCAGGGAAAGAAAAACTAATTTGTGCTCTGAGCAAGGGACCATTTCTCTTGGTGCTGATGGCCCGCAGGGCTCTCCAGATGATGATCTGTGGGTGCATTGAGGTCCTTCCAGTGCACATCAAACCCTGCTGTAGCATGGGAAGAGGGGGCTGATGGGTCCACACAGGCACCTCGGTGTGGGGACAGGAACTGGACCCTGGCCAGGCAGGATGAAGACTGCTCCAGTATCCCTCCTTATGAAGCTCAGGCCTCCAAGTGAGAGATGTGTGCTATCTCCTTCACAGAGGCTGGCCAAGCTGCTCTTTGATGGCACACAGCTGGTGACAAATATCCAGGTGGCTGTTGACTCGAGGGAAACACAGAGGAGGGCAGAGGAGGCAGAGCTGAAGCTGCACAGGTAAGAGACTGTGCAGTGGGTCTGTGCTGCTGGGAAGGAGATGTCTGTACTGCTCCCTAAGCACCTTCTAGAATGGCCGTGTTGCACCATGGGACATCCCAGCTCTGGTTACCCAGGGACGCTTTGTTAAAACTTAAGAGTTAGGGCTACGATGAATTTATGTTCAAAGGCAAAATTCCAGGCACACAAGGAGTCTCCTCGTCCCAGCCTGCCATGTATTCTGGTCAGTTGACTCTTTACAGATGGTTACTGATCTCCTGCAGACCCATCACATCCTCAGCTCTAGAGTATGAGAAACATGCTGGGCTCTTAACTTCCCACCAGGAGGGCTTTATCCCATGCATTTGCAATTTCCTTGATCCAGAAGTGTAGGCACAGCTGCTCTCGCTTTTTGTTTGCCAGTGAGCTCTGCTGAGCTTGAGGGTCACAGAGGAGGTGGTGCTACGGGGCAAGGGGACATGCTACCTTGCGCTGAAAGGTATCTAAGTAAAAGAACCGTGCTCCAGCTATAGTCCAATGCCGTGGCCCCTTGGTCGAGTGATCCAGTCAATCAGGGATGTGTCCTAATGCCCAGTGACGTGTGGTTTCACCTGGAACGAGCAGAAAAAGTTGAGGGTCCCGGACTGATTGTGTGCGTGATCCTGAGTGTCCCTGAAGTGACTGTCTGTGGGCTGAAGCACCTCAAATGAGTTAAGTGAATAACTTGGAGCCACTTCAGTAAGTCTTTCAAGAGGGGCTCTGAATTTATAGCAAAGAGCAAATCCATAGCTATGAAGAAGTCTATTTTGCCAAGACTGCTCGGAGAGGCTGCAAATTGCAGCATATCACGCACAAGGGTCACGGCCAGACCACTGCCTCTTAGGACCTTTTGTTTCCAGAAGTTGCCCTCCCGCAGTAGAGATAAGGGTAGTTATTAGCCATATCATGAGAATGTGCTGGGAGAGCCACACCAGGCTGTCCTGTGTGAGGAATGAGAATTTGAGGCTGTCCTGATTTGAGAAATGGGATATTAAGATGTTCACAGTGAGAGTGGTCCAATGCTGGGACAGGAGCCCATAATGCTGTGGCAACTTCTTCCTTGGAGATACTCAGAATTTGCCTGGACAAGGTGCTGCATAACCTGCTCTGATATTGAAGTTACTCCCACTGGGATTGGAAGAATTCCTGAGGCCATTCCAGCTTCAGTTATTCTCTGATCCTGTCCCTGTGGCTTCCTGTGCAAACCTGTCCTGCTTCACCAGAGAAGCGGAACTGTCTCCAAGGGACTGGCTTTTCCACTCCTGTCTCCAGGACTCAGTGAGTGTGGCTCTGTCAGGAAACACAAGAGTCCTCCCTCCTAGTTGCCTTTGGAGGGCAGTGTAGGAACAGTTTGTGGGAGCCCAGTTGTAGCAGGCTGCCTGTCCCTTGCTCAGATGGTTTTCCACTGGGAATCTTATTAAGGAACCAGGTGCTGTGCCCAGAAATTGGCCCCTAGAACAGGTCTGGGGGTGATAAGAGAGAAGGGTGTGCAGGAGCAGCCTGCTGCTGTGCCTGTGTGTGGCTAAACAGAGGCCATGCATGCTGAGTGTAGTCCCATCAGGTGTCTAATGCTGGGATTGAGGCTTGCACAGCTTGGCTCTGCCCCTCGGCAGCACAGAGCACAGCTCTCTCCTGCTCCCCATCTCCGTGCAGCAGACTGCCTTGGCCGGCAGCTCCCACCTTGTGCCCTGAGGCTGGGCCGTGGAGTAGGAGAGGGTTTGGGACTGTGCTGCTAAGATGAGTGCGTGCTAGGGAACGTCTTGCACCAACAGCAGGGTGATGTGGCAGTCCCTTGTCATCGCTCGACCTGATGGTTTAAACGCTTTTGCTCTTGCTTCACAGGAATGATCCTGCAGGGCCATATCTGCACTGGTACAGAGCGGCAGGACAGGACACAGCCCCTCTCCTGCCTTTGCTGGCACACTGAGAGTCTTGAGACTAATGAATTAGCTAATGAACTAGCAGCCTTGGATCTGCCGGTTCTGTCATCATTGCTCTGAGTGTGTGGAGCATCAGGGTGGACTGTGTAGCTGGGGTTGCAGAAAGCTTCTGCCCCATGGGTATCTTTATGCCACTTTGAATTCAAAGTGAGTTACGCAGGAAATTGCTCCTACGTGGTGCTGGATGTGACATGGGCCACCAAGCTGCGGCTGGAGCAGCTGAACTGCCTGCTGCCCTCCCTGCCTCAGCTCCCATTTGCCTTGTGCTCCCTCCTGCCTGCAGGGTGGAGAGGCTGGAGAATGAAGCCAAGACTAATGCCTGCAAGTTTGAGGAAATCACCTCAAAATGGGAATTGGCTAAGAAGAAGACGATCCCGCAGGCTGAACCAGCAGCAGCAGCAGTGCACGATGGTCCTGGAGGAGAAGAACAAGCTCATCAGTGAACTGCAGCAGGTAGCGTAGGGGCCAAGCAGGGATGGCCAGGAGGGACTGGCATTTTCAAGCTCTGAAGGATGCTGTTCTAAAGCAGTGGTCTTCCCTCGGTCCAGCTCTGCAGCCCCTCAGTACCAATCCCCAGGCAAGCAATGGTTCTTCTGTAAGGGTAACAGAAAAGTGCCTGCCCCCCCCCATTCACACTGCTAACCTCCCCTGTCAACAGACAGGGTGGCCACCTCCGACAGCCTTTTGGGATGGTTCATGAGTTGGGATCCATGTGTTGCCAGCCAGTGCAGGGATAGGTGCGTGTCCTGGTAGTAGCAAGGCGAACAAGGAACAAGGAGTTCTCAGGCTGCACGGTAACAAAACAGGGAACGAGCAGAGAGGAGGAACGTCTCTGTAGAGGGAAATAGGCTTCCCTGCAGCTTGTTCTTGATTCTCTGGCCCTTTGCCCTTATCATCTGCTGTACTTTGGGAAAGGCAGTGTCTGGGTGTTAGCCTCTCAATTAGCCTCTGAGGATTCCTGGCAAAATACTTCTCTGATTTCAGCATCTACTCTTCTCTTCCAGGAGCTGAAAAGCAAAGACGAGCAATATGTGCATGCTCTTAAGAAGCAGTCAGATGATATCCACCTCCTTTTGGAGAGAATGGAGGAGCAGATCAGGAACATGCTGAAAACCTATCGTCATGAACTCCTACAGATTGAGGTAGCCAATTCATTTGTTGGAGGAAGAGTGCAGTGAGAAAACCTGCAGCCACTTCTCCATATCTGTCACAAAAAGGCCTCAGGCTCATTGCACTGGCTAGGCCGACTACTGTCCAGAGCAGTAGGATGTGAGGTGAATGAGGCTGAAATCAGGCAAAGCAAGAGCACTGAGTGGTGCTGAGTGCTAGGAGTCAGCCTGCATGATGCTGGAGCCTTTCTGGTGAACGACTGTGTAAGTGAAGAGCAAGTCAGTAGCATGTGAAAGCTCTTGCTGCTTGATGGCTGGTTGTTCACCTCTCTAAAAGCTGTAAGAGAACACTGTGGTTGTTTGGCCTGACTTTCTGCAGAGCACAGGCCAGAAGGTCCCACTACCCAGGCCAGGCCTGCATTTGTTGCTGAGCAAGGGCATCTCTCCCTCTTAATGTAATGTCTTCCCAGGTGAAATCAAGTGGCTGTCTGATCAAGTTCCTCTGCTAATCATGGAAGAATGATTGTCAGTGAACTTGAAGAACTACCAGCCACCCAGAGCATCTATCTCGGCTCTGGGTGGCTGGTAGTAGTGATCCCATTGGGCTCGCAGTGTGAGGTCTCTACTGGTGGGGTCCTGGGACGGAGGTCAGGCCAGTGTGTGTTCAGCGGACAGCAGCAGCAGTCTGGAGCCAATCATCTCCTGAAGGCTGCTGGCCCAGAGTGCTGCAGGGCTAGCGAAGAGGGGAAGCAGGACCTTGTGATGCTGAAGGGCTCCGTTTCCTTTACAGAGAGCTTTTGAGCTAGAACGGCAAGAACTGCTGGACGACAATAGGAAGAAATGGGAGGCAGGCATTCAGGCCCACAACGCACAGGAGGTAAAGTGCCCCTGAGGTTTATAAAGGCTGCCAGGAGCAGCGCTCTCCAGCGCTGGGCTGCCTCCAAAGACACTGTGCTAAAAGGCAGCTGGTTCCTCAGGGACGTGCGGGGCAGAAGGACAGGTTTGCAGCCTGCTCTGCCTGGGAATTGTCTGCGCATGGCTTTGCTTTAGGCTGGCCAAGGACTTGTGGTCATGGGGGAAAACTGTTACTGCTGATGGATAGGACTCTTCTTGTGCCCATAGCTGGAAGACCTGGCTGCCCGTATGAAAAAGGTGGAAGAGTTTGAGAAGCAGCTGAATCAGCTGCAGGTGCAGGGTATGGAGGAGTATAACAGCATGAAGAGCCAGCTGGAGAATAACGTGCAGGTACAGAAAGGGCTGGTGTGTGCCATGTGGGAGGGCAGTGGAGCAGACCCTCTGGGCTTTTTGGTGTATAGCTGGCTGTGGAGAGCAACTAGCTAGTAGGAGAGCTGCGACTGGTATCTGGCCACCTTGACTCTTCAATAGGCGCAGTCCAGCCCCATGTCAACAGGAGCTGTTGTTCTCTCCTTCCTATGGGCCCCACACATCATCATCTGTCTGCCTTTGGCTCCCAGAGGTCTGTAACACATGAGCTGTGGCTCTAAGACGCATGAAGCACCTGGGAAGGTTGTGGGGTTTGCCACTTCTGGTGTCATCATTGATAAGTTGAACAGTAAATATGGCTATCTTGAGACCAGGCCACGTCAGACCAACCTTATTTCCTCCTTTGTCAGGGTCTTTGGCCTAGGAGATGTGAGCTTTTTCCTCTGATGTCTAGCCAGGAACCCATGACTTCTCTAACACCTGTGGTCTCCGCTTGGTGTTAGTTTTTGTGAGCTTGCCCTTACTCAGCTAGTCAGGCATGCAGTGGAAGAGCACAGCCCTTGCACACCACCAGCTGAACAAGCATGGGGGGACATGCTACCCTGCAGCTGAGAGGCAAACCTTGTAGCTGTGGCTGTCCTAGATATGGATGCCTTTTAACCCACTGCGCTCTCTGCAAGTAACCTTGTGAACAAAGCAGTGCATCTGTGGCTTTCTGCAGTCCTGCTAGTCAGCTGGGCTACAGCTCCCATGTCTTTCCTAGGCTGTCAGACTTGGTTTCCCCAGTATTATTTAGACTTCACAGCTCAGTGGAGGGCCCTGCTGCAGCTGACACCTTTCTTGCAAGTTGTCACGTGTTGTTTGTCAAGGCCTGCGTGGCAGAAATGGGACATGTTACATCTGGACTTCAGTAAGGCCCCCTGATATTTCCCATGTGATGTCCTCAGAGGAAAACCTGGGAAATACGGGCTAGAGACAATCTGTAGAAGGTAAAGCGTGTGTGAAGTGTAACTGTCAACAGGTACCTGTCAAACTGGACGGGCAAGTCCAGCGGGGCAATTTCTTCATCTTTACATTGATAACCTGGAGGGTAGTACAGAGCATGTAACATTCACAAATTGCTCTAAGCCTGGGGAAGGGAGGCGGCAGCGCTTTGGAGATCAAGGTTCACAAGCAGAAATGTGGTGCTCTTGCAAAAATGCACCTGCCGTCTTCAACTGTAGTTGTGGGAGTGTTTAACGTAAGACTGGGGAGGCAATTATTCCTTTCTACTTTGTACCTATGTCCGGGCTTGCAGCCCACTAGAGGAGATGGGAGAGAGTCTAGGACAGACCAAAGGGAGTTGAGACAAATGACCCATAAGAAAAGGTTGGGAGTCTGAGGCTGTTTAGACGAGGGAAGTGATTTCTGTGGGGAGGTGATACGTCTTCAAATGCGTACGTATGTTTTATAATAAAGGAGGAGAATGGTCTCTTCTCTGTGTCCATTACAGATGCAAGAAAAAATCATGGGTTTGAATTTTGGCAGAGAAATTTAAATCGGCATTCAGATTTAGGTTTGAGATGTTGATATTTCAAGCAAGGAAAACATGGAGATGGCAAGGGCTTGCTGAACATTGGATACAGTGACTGTGCCATGCTCTTTGGTGCAGGGTTTTAGGGATAACTTAAATCAACTTCTTACCCAGGTGGGACTGTTTCTGGATGTCTTTCCAGGTTGCCTCTGCACACGTAGAGACATACGTGCTCTCTTGTAAGTAGAGCTACCTAGGGTAGCTCTAAATCAGCTAACTCAGGTACCAGCATCCTTCCTGTTCTCTAGGCTGCAGCTCAGGACTGCCACCAGAGATCCCACTGGGCAGAGAACAAGGCTTCCCCGGCCTCAGCCCACGGAGATGAAGGGCCGAGTCTCTTTCTTGTGCAGATTGTTGTGACCTTTCTCTGCCCATCTGAGCCTGTAGGTGATGGTTTAATATGGGACTACGCAGCAGCTTAATTCAAAACACTTTCTATTATGGAAGAAGTCTTTATAAACCTCACCAGTAAAGCACTGCATTGTAAGATTTTCAGTATCAGATTTCTGCACTACCTCCTCTCGCACGCAGGAGACACTTGTACTAGTGAATTAAACCATGTCAGGCCTGGACACTACCACTCACCCATGCACAAGGGCATGCTGCCTGTCAGGTGTGTGCCTGACACACGTCGATGTTCCCCCCTGCAGTTGTTTACAAATGGCCTTTAGGGCGGTCAGAGAGCAGTGGTTATAGGTAGGGTGTGATGTCTCTCAGCCCAAAGGAGCAGCTCCAGGAGACTGGAGGAATCAGCACTGGAAGTGCCTCTTCCTTTCCATTGGCTATCAAGAGAACAGGGTGCTGAGGAGCTGAGAGAGACCTCTCCATTGCGGCTGTTGGAGTAAAGAGGGAACCTACTACCTTTTTTCTGTTCTCCAGACTATACAGTGAGACAGTGCCGTCGCAAATGCTGCAGTGCTAAAGGCCCTGGTTTCCATAAGACTTGGAGTTTACTCCTCCTGTGTGTCTGCTCCTCCAGCTTCCCAAATAATTTCTGAGCCTCTTGGCTAGTTCCAGCTCAGACTGGTAGGAGGGTAGAGGTCTCAGGTCCAAGCAGTTCCTAAAAGCATCATGAAAATCAGCAGATAGATTGAGGAGAGAGGCCCAAATTAGTGCCCCAGTGCTGGAGAGCTGAGTGCAATTTCAGTCCTTTCTCCATTCCCAGGACATGGCCAGGCACCATGCATTCATGGACAACCAGCACCTCCATCCCTCACCTCAGCTTCAAAGCATGCCACATGGCCAGCCAGGCAGGCTGAAGAGAAATATGCATGGGAAGAGGGGATTTGGGGACGCAGGATCAGTAGGCTCCAGGCTTCAGTGCATATCATGCTCATGGCATGTCTTGTTTTCATGTTGTTTGGAATGCCAGACCCTGGAGAGGCAGCTCCAGAAGGTGAAAGCCATCTATCAGCTGAACCAGGAGAAGCTGGAGTACAACCTGCAGGTGCTCAAAAAGCAGGATGAGGAGAACACCATCATCAAATCCCAGCAGAAGAGGAAGCTCAACCGGTAAAAAACAGTCCCTGGAAGATGGGCTCTGCCTTACCTGCTCTCACCTTCCATATGCCATGTTTTTTGGAATCCATTATCTAGCACAGGCCAACAGACCTTGTCCCAACCCATCCCTGGGCAGGAACAGGGGTTAGCCTGAAGCAGGGCCATCACCAGGACAGCTTGGATGAGGGTGGTCAGAAAGTTGGACAGGGTGGCAATGGCCAGACTGTGCCAATTGGGTTAGGGACCATGCTCAGGCCTTGGTGCAGGGTAGTCGCTAGTAGGTAGGTAGCCCCAAGTCCCAAAGCCTTCATACAAGCTGGATATGCGCAGAGAGCCTTCTTCAGAGATTCCTAGTCTTGCTCTCCCCTCCCAGGCTTCATGATGTGCTCAATAACCTGAGAAGAAAACTGTCCAAACAAGAGAAGCAGCTCAGGGAGGAGAACCAGAGCCTGGCAGCTGACTATGAGCGCATCGTGGGGCAGTGCAAGGAGCTGCAGAGAATGATGAGGTGAGGTGTGTGTGGAGGCCTGGCCATTCACCCACCATGAGACTTGGCTGCAGGTCTCAGAGCAGCTGAGCAAGGCACTGAGGGAAGCTGCCTCGTTGCTGAGCCTCCTTCCACGGGCTGTCTCCCTTCTGCACAGGCATTTTGCTTTCAGCGACACTGAGAAGTTCGTGGAGGTCTGGCTCATGAACGAGGAGGAAGCCAAAAGGCTGATACGGAGAGCCTTTGATGCAGATCGCATCATTCACACCCAGCAGCTGGGGCTGCCCTGGGAAGAGCCTCGTTACTGGTTCCTGAACAATGTCGGCCCCCTCAAGCATTACAAGGCAAAGAGGACGGCCATGAAACTCGCCACAGAGATGCTGACAGGTGGGACACCCAGCCTCGGTTCCCTTGTTGCCCCTGTGGCACTGGAAGACCCTCCCATCCCCTCTGACAGCCCCATCTGTCACTCCTTTCTTTGCCATTGCTTGGAGGAGGAGGCTGAGGCACAGGCAGATTAAGGGGCTATTGTCAGCGCTCAGCAGAGACTTTACCACGCTGGTCAGAGAGCCCTTTCTAGACCTGGGTAAATCCCCCTTCTCTAGAGCTCAGCATCGCTTTGGAAGGTAACCAAGAAGGAAAAGGACTGGGCCTCACTGTCTGCGCTGCAGGGAAGGCCAGGGCCCTGGCTCTGTCTGTGGCCCCTCTGTGTCTGTCTTTGCAAGAACTCAGGGCTGACGTTAATACAGTGCTTGTCAGGGAGGAAGAGGGTATAACAGGCAGGAACATGGGGTCCTGTTCAAGGCTTGTGGCAGTAAATACGATGCTGATGGAGAGTAGTTTCAATAGAAACCAGTGAAGCCAAAGTCTGGAGTCTGCACTCCATCCCAAGGGTTCTGCTGTGGGATCTTACCAACTACTTAAGTCCAGACAGGAGCTGGCCTGTGTCCCGCTCTGAGCTGGCTCCTGCCGAGCCATCTTCGAGATCTGTACTTGGCCCAGTGCTCCCAGTTCCAGAAGAGCCAGCCCAGAGTCAGCTCACATCCTTGGACCTCTGTGAGGCTTTGTAGGTCTCAGGGCACAACTGTGATTCCCCTCGTGACTCCTCCAGTGATGTGACTCATGCCAGCATGGGGAGCACAGTCAGAGCACAAAGACCTTTTGCTCGCCATTCTTTCTCTGCGTTTCAGAGGGCCGTTGTGGGGGACAGGAGGAGGAAGAGGGAGAGAAGGGGAAGGAAGAAATGGCCTGTGGAGAAGGAGGAAGAGAGAACCCAGAAGATGCTGAGGATAGGGTCACACCTCTGCAAAATGTCTCCAGGAAGACTATCAAGAGGATCCTGGAGCTCGTGAGCGATGAGTCGGTGCGTGACAGGTGTAGCATATGCCTTGATCAGGAAGGGCAGGCCGAGAGCAGGCATAGCTGTGCCCTGGCTGCTCCAGCTCATGTTGCTGATCTCTTTTGATCCCCAGATCTTGGGGTAAAGGCTTGAGAGCCCAAATCCACCTGTGAATTCACTGTGCGCACCTGGATTTCACTGGAAAAGAGGTGCCTAACTACATCTGTGCATGGTGGAGGGCTGCATGCTCCCCTGGCCAGAATAAGCACAGGCCAGCAAAACTGCCACATCTGGTGGTCCAGGCTGTGTGCCCCTTCTCCGGAGACGTTCACGGGCTTCAGATCAGGAGTTCCTTATGGCCATTGCTGTGCTGATGAACTAATGAGCGCCAGGCCCTTCTCTGCCCTTGCAGCTCTTGTTCAGCAAGAGGCAATGAGGTTGGGACCGTCTTCCCTGCTTGCTCCTGCTGGGTGCCTATTCCAGAACCTCCTGGCTGGGGAGGAACATCCTTATGCTGCCCAGCCTCTGCCGCCCTTCCCAGCTCTGCCTGCAGCTGCAGGATGGCTGCTCTGGCTTCCTGGCTGTTTCTCTGCCTGTTGGCTGTGCTGGGGCTGGGTTCTGGGCACAGATGGAGACACTCACTATTTCTCTGTTCCCTTTTCTCTGCATATCACCCAAGGGATTCCTCATTGAGAGCAAGCTGCTGAGGCTTCTGCAACCACTGGGGAAGCATGAGCGCACCCTCGTGAAGCTTGACTCCATCTTTAACGTGAGTTGGGGGTTGGCCCATTAACGGCTGCAGGGAAGCATTTCCTGTGGCAAGGCTGGGGATCGTGTGGGAAAGCCGTGTATGTAGGACACAGCGTCCCAAAAATGGCCCAAGAAAATGGTTGCATTTCAGGAGAGACAGACATATATAGGTAGGAAAAATCAGGGGCCCAAAGGGTGGGAGCTGGCTGGCCAGGCAGCTGTTCTTCTGGGCTGCAGAGACCTGTAAGTATTGGGAGGTAGGAAGGCAAGTGTCACACACAGAGCCACAGAGTAGTCATTATGATATGAGATAAATGTAGTAATCATGGGGTTTTGCTCTGCACTGGTCAGGCCACTGCTGGGAAATTGCCTCCAGGTTTGGTCCCTGTCCCCTGGAAGGTGGGCAACAACCAGAAGAGTCCAGAAAGGGCTGGGGAGCATGACCTGCCAGGAAAGGCTGAAAGGAACAAGACTTGCTTCATCTAGACGAGACAGGAATGGCCTTTGAAGAGGCAAAGGGCTGTTGCACAAGGAGAGGGAGTCACGTCTGCCTTGTGTCCGTGTGGACAGGACAAGGAGGCATAGGATTGAGCTGCCCAAGGAATGTTCAGCTGGGCTGTTGAGGAGGCTTTGTGGAAGTGAGGGGAGAGGAGCACTGTGGGAAAGTGCTCTGAACTGGCCAGATACCTCTCAGCCCGAGCCAATACTGCTGATGATTTGGACGATGTGTCCAGCCTGTTCTCAGACACTGAGATTTGTACTCTTCCATCCACAGATACCCCCATCCCACACAAACCACTTCTTACTAACTGCTCCTGCACAGGTCTCGCATAGCCATTGCCCTGTGCTGCGGTCAGCAGAAGAGGTAGAGATGGCTGTCAGCTCCTCAGGGCCTCCCACAGGAGCCTTGGCAAAATTCCCAGCATCTGGGACTTAAAGCTGAATCAAACTCCTTCACCAAGTGTAGTCAAGCAGCATCCCTCTGTCTCTGCAGAATGACCTCCTCTTCCACAGAGGCACAGCTTCTTCTCCTGGGAAATGCTGTTCATTTAGCTCCCGCTCTCGTGATGTCTCTGAGGGACTCTAACCTGGCTCCTCTGCTCCCCAGGTCCTCGGGATTGACAGTGAAGATGACCTGTACCAGCTGGTGGATTTCTTCCTGAAGTACAAAGCCCAGGAGGTGGCTGTCAGCCAGGTGGAACAGACAGGGACAGCGGTGAGGAAAGCCTGGCAGAGCAGGGGGACCAGGGAAGGGGGAGCAGAACATCTCCTGAACATCCAGGGAAGACAGCGCGGGATAGCCCAGCTCAGCAGACCTGAAGCATCTCTCTGTGACTAGACAAGGGAGGTGAAGAGTACCAGGCCTGGGCACTGCCCTTTGGCCACCCACCAGGGACACTGCCCACCAGGACTGGTGTGGGGGGTCCAAACCAAGGCACCCAGCCCCAACCCATCCCTACACAGGGACAGGGGTTAGCTTGGGGATAGGGCCATCCCCAGGACAGTTTGGATGAGCCCTGGTCACGAGGGGAGAATTGAACAGCCTGGCCAGGGCCTGCCTGGCCGGGGGTTCAGGGCGGGGAAGAGCCCTGGTACAGGGTCGCAGCCTAGTGGAGATGGAGATGAACTGATCACAGTAGGGAGTTTGAATGAGACCACAATGTCTGGAGAGTGAGTTTTTACCCAAAGGGATTTAGCCAGGCTATGCCAGTTGACCTCCAAATCAGAGAATATCTGGCCCATTTTATTGCTGGTGCAGACACAGCCTAAGGCAGGAATGAGGCCAGTGGGTTGTAAATCTGCTTCTGCCATAGACAAATGGGGCCTCCTGTATATTCTTTTTTGCCTGCGCTCTCTAAGTTTGTGAGAAAATGAGGCTGCAGGTGGCTGGGAGCTCCCAGGGGGATGCAGCGCTGTGGGGAGGAGGAAACAGCGTGAAGGGCGCAGAGCCCATCTTGCTGGCCTGCCTTCCAGAGCCAGGCTGCAGTGGGTTGTAAATCTGCTTCTGCCATAGACAAATGGGGCCTCCTGTATATTCTTTTTTGCCTGCGCTCTCTAAGTTTGTGAGAAAATGAGGCTGCAGGTGGCTGGGAGCTCCCAGGGGGATGCAGCGCTGTGGGGAGGAGGAAACAGCGTGAAGGGCGCAGAGCCCATCTTGCTGGCCTGCCTTCCAGAGCCAGGCTGCCCCTCACGGCCAGGAGGGCCCAGCCAGTGCGGATGGCGCAG